CGGATATTGCTTTCTGGGAAGGAAGGGAAGGTCGGAGAAGTAGATGAGGTCGGAGATAACTTCATTTCGTAGAGGAGCTCGTGGACCTCACAAGCCTGCTTACATAGTTTAGTGATGTGTCTTAGGCAGCAGTTGTTGCCTTCGACTTGAGCCAACTTGCAAAACATGTACTCTAAAAAAAGTAAAATATAAAAATAAAGAATGTTCATGTAAGTATAAAAGTAATACACTCACAAACAAACATAATGTACAGTTGGTAATACATGTAGTTTTACAAGATAAAATTTTCAATTTAAAACACATTTTGTAATTTTCAATCTTTCACTGCAAATCGTCCTCTTTAGCAAGAATAAAAATATATTAAACTTGCAAAGTTTGAATGCTAGCAAATATTTCCAATATTGTAGTTACTATAAATAGAATGTTACTATAAATAGAGCAGCTACCTGACTCGTGCTTCACAGTATCAAAAGAGGTGCTCAGTCTACGATGTTCGGCTTCCAAGTGCTTCACTTTGGAACGTAACTGCTCGTTCTCAACGAGGCCTTCTTGAGAGGAGGCGGAGAAGGAGAGAGAATAGGAGAAGAGACAAGAGATAAGCTCTTGAATGCTGTGGCAGTTCTGTAAAGCATAGACCAGCTGTTGCTGCTGCTCGGGGGAAAATGACTCGGGAAGCTAAAAGAAAAATAAAATAATAAATATAAATATAAAATTTAGAAGTACATGCAGCAGTTTTGTAGAAACATACATGTACATGTACAGTGTAGCCTCTTTATTAAGGACACCATTAGGTCCACACTGCCTGTCCTTAATACATGTACAGTGTAGCCTCTTTATTAAGGACACCATTGGGCCCACACTACCTGTCCTTAATACATGTACAGTGTAGCCTCTTTATTAAGGACACCATTGGGCCCACACTACCTGTCCTTAATACATGTACAGTGTAGCCTCTTTATTAAGGACACCATTGGGCCCACACTACCTGTCCTTAATACATGTACAGTGTAGCCTCTTTATTAAGGACACCATTGGGCCCACACTACCTGTCCTTAATACATGTACAGTGTAGCCTCTTTATTAAGGACACCATTGGGCCCACACTACCTGTCCTTAATACATGTACAGTGTAGCCTCTTTATTAAGGACACCATTGGGCCCACACTACCTGTCCTTAATACATGTACAGTGTAGCCTCTTTATTAAGGACACCATTGGGCCCACACTACCTGTCCTTAATACATGTACAGTGTAGCCTCTTTATTAAGGACACCATTGGGCCCACACTACCTGTCCTTAATACATGTACAGTGTAGCCTCTTTATTAAGGACACCATTGGGCCCACACTACTTGTCCTTAATACATGTACAGTGTAGCCTCTTTATTAAGGACACCATTGAGCCCACACTACCTGTCCTTAATACAGAGGTGTCCTCATTTCAGAGGTGCTTTTGTATATAAGTTTGTACCAATTGGAACATTATATACTCATTTCTTATCATTGTACAAATCCTTACCACACTAGTCGTGACATCTTCATTAAGTATACTGACAATGTTTGAGACACCATCAACAGAGCTGGGAAGGTAACCTGATGATGCATATATATCTGAAGCCTCTGATGGAGCAGATATCTAGTAAGAAAAATAAAATAAAATATAGTATTCATAAATTATAAAAGAGAGAGAGAGAGAGATGTTGTACATGTACATTAAATATGAGAGGTAGCTAAAGAATTAAAGTCTTACCAAAGACTTTGCTTTCTTAGTTCCAGACTGCACTTCTCTCTCCTGCTGTCTCTCTGGGTCACAGTCAGTGCTTGATATTTTATGAAGTGGTTGAGTTCCTTTGGCTCCTCCTTTTATAGCCACGCCCTCTCCGTTCTTGTGAAGCAAAGGGTCACCTTTTATAAGCTGACAGTGTAGCTTCTGATTCTCATCTTTGAGGGTCCACTTCTCTCTCTCTGTTTCTCTTAGCTATTGAAGAATATAATGAATCAGTTGAAATTTACATTGAATTTAAAACTGGAAGATCTTGAAAGGCTATTGGTACATGTACATGTGGTTAAAAACTATTAGTAACATACGCATGTACTTCATCATTTATTTTTTACTGCATTGCTTTCTTTTCTCTCTCTCTCTCTCCCCCAACTGTTCTTTCAGTTGCTCTGTCTCTTGTCTAAGTGATGAGTAAAGTCTTTGAAGTCGCTCCATATCAAGCTCATCTTTAACTCG